TATAGGAATCATCCAAAGAGGACTCACTTCGGAGTCGGCCTTTCCGTCGGCATTGAATTTCTCTTGACTTAAGCTTAGAATCAATGAGTTTCCGTCGCGACGGGACTTAACCTTTCAATTGTTGTAATAATTATTTATTATTAAATACAATATTAATTTGAAAATTCAAAATACTAACTGTTATAACGGGATATCCTTTCTGTTTAGTCCAAGTGTTCATCACTTCTCTAACGGGTCTATCGCTGGCCTTTTGAAGTGAAGTCCAGAGATCGTCGGTCACAGTATTGCCGTATTTGTGTTGATCGAGATATAAATGCAATCCTTTTCTAAAATACTAATTAAAATTTATTAGAAATTGTATTTGAATTCAATCTATAAACGCATACCTCATCTCCGATATACCGGTGAAGCATTCTTAAGACAGCGGATCCCTTATCGTAGGATATTCTGTCAAAAATCTCAATAATTTCCGACGGATGACCGACCGGTACTTCAATGGGGTGTGAGTTGTGAAGTGCGTCCAAATTGAGTGCCGTTAAGTACTCGTCGGACACGAATTGAGTCCAAATGTGATACTCACTGAACAAATGGTTAACACATAGGTATGAGATAAATGTGGCGAAACCTTCTTTCAGCCACAGATCTAATCCAAAAATAGGGATCATTTGTTAAAATATTCATCATAAAAGCCATTATTGCCAAACCTGTCCACCAGTCCATTGTCACCAAATTACCGAACCATTGGTGAGCGATTTCGTGGGCTATTATTATAGCAGTTCTTTGTTTACTGAAAGTAGACGTATTCTGTGGGTCCACAAGAATACATGTCTCCCGATATGTGATTAGACCCCAGTTCTCCATCGCTCCGATCGGGAAGTCACTGACGGCTATCATATCGAGTTTGGACAACGGGTACGGGATATCAAAGTAGTCCTCATAGTATGTCAACGATTTGATGGCCACATCCAGAGCGAAGACTCCCTGATCTTTCTTTCCCACCGGTGTATACACGCGAACAACATATCGAGTTTGGACAACGGGTACGGGATATCAAAGTAGTCCTCATAGTATGTCAACGATTTGATGGCCACATCCAGAGCGAAGACTCCCTGATCTTTCTTTCCCACCGGTGTATACACGCGAACAGTGTGTCCGTTGACTGTCTTTCCCTCAACGAAGTCAAACTCTCCGACGGCGTAAGCGATCAGATATGTAGACATCAAAGGAGTGGTCATAAACTCTATCTCAATGAGATCAGAGTCGACGAAATCTTTGACCCTCAATGCGTCCATATTTGACAGAGCCTTTACACCCGGCGGTACCACAAGACGGATGTCAAACGTGGCCTTAAGTGCCGGTTCGTCCCAACACGGAAACGCTCGCCGGGCTTCAGTCGCCTCGAAGTGAGTGACCGCCGAATACCTGTCCTGTTGTCCGTCTGCGGCCGTGTATTTACTTCTGTAAAAACCCTTCAGTTTATCGTTAATAAAACCCGTGAATTCCAGTTTCAGTTCTCCCGACCCGAGGGGTAAAGTCTCTGTCAAATATGGACGCATTGAGGGTCAAAGATTTCGTCGACTCTGATCTCATTGAGATAGAGTTTATGACCACTCCTTTGATGTCTACATATCTGATCGCTTACATATCGAGTTTGAACAACGGGTACGGGATATCAAAGTAGTCCTCATAGTATGTCAACGATTTGATGGCCACATCGAGAGCGAAGACTCCCTGATCTTTCTTTCCCACCGGTGTATACACGCGAACAGTGTGTCCGTTGACTGTCTTTCCCTCAACCAAATCAAACTCTCCGACGGCGTAAGCGATCAGATATGTCGACATCAAAGGAGTGGTCGGGAATTGCACTTCTTTGAGGTCAGAGTCGGCCAAAGGGATGACCGCCGATGAGTCCATATTTGACAGAGCCTTCAAATGCTTCGGCACCACAAGACGGATGTCAAACGTGGCCTTAAGTGCCGGTTCGTCCCAACACGGAAACGCTCGCCGGGCGTCCGTTGGGGCGAATTGAGTGACCGCCGCATACCTGTCCTGTTGTCCGTCTGCAGCCGTGTATTTACTTCTGTAAAAACCCTTCAGTTTATCGTTAATAAAACCCGTGAATTCCAGTTTCAGTTCTCCCGACCCGAGGGGTAAAGTCTCTGCGAAGTCAATACAAGTCGTCTCCGTTTCGGCAGAGCTCTCGATCCGTACGGAAGTCAACGCTTGGGTCAGAAAAATATGATTTCAAAGAATTAATTTGAATTTAAATACAAAATCCCTTTTAAATACTTTTGGCATCACTTGTGGTAAAAGTGGCGGAAGTGATGTCAATGTCGAGTGAATTCAAGACAATCTGTTTGGTCTGTTCACTGACACCAACACTGATCTCTTCACTGCCAGCGAACGTAAAACTCTTGAGTTGTGGTCTAATAGTGATTACATAATGTCTTGGAGTGACGGCTGACGGCAGGCGTCGGAACTCGGCTTTGGATCCGTTGCTCATTGTGTCCAACAATTAGTGCAAACAATAAGAGAGTGAATTCAAGACAATCTGTTTGGTCTGTTCACTGACACCAACACTGATCTCTTCACTGCCAGCGAACGTAAAACTCTTGAGTTGTGGTCTAATAGTGATTACATAATGTCTTGGAGTGACGGCTGACGGCAGGCGTCGGAACTCGGCTTTGGATCCGTTGCTCATTGTGTCCACAAAAGTGTTCAAACGTCTGAAACAATACCTGTTTTTTGGCAAAACTTTACAAAACTTTAAAATTAGATTCAATTTAATCATAAAATATTTGATTTCGTTTCCAATGCCTTAAAGTGTTATCAATTGAATCAATGGTGAGATATAATCACTGAATGTATAATCAATTTAAGCGTTAATTCACTTAAATCTCGATATAATTGATAACACAATCAATGAATACAATGAGTGACCGATTGTTTCACACAAACAAATGTTTGGCAATAATTGCTTCACAAATAACGCAATCATTGAAATGTGTGGAACGCCTGTGGGTTAGGCTTTACTCGCATTATAACTGTAATGTGTTTTATATGTGCAGTGAAGCCAACTTTAAACTGTAACGATCGGGCATTTAATATGCGGTCAGATTAGCCGATGGACTGCCGGTCGACCACTAGAACTGATCGTCTAATCAATTGTTGATTAACTTTGAAAACATCCCTAAAATATCAGTTCATTAAAATGCTAAACACTTATGAGTCAAATAATAATAGTTTTATTTTTTCCTTTTAATTAATTCATAAGAAATTAGAAATTTGTATAACATTTTTAAACAAAATTCATATTTATATTTCATGTCATTTATAAACGATTGGATAGAAAGGATTGAATGGCCGGCAGATCGCGAGCCAACCATTCGCTGTTTGAACGTATTTTTTCAAGTGATTGCTTAACCGTTCGTTCGGTTCCCGGGAATGGATTGTCGGCGAAGAATGTCTCCAATTCTATGGCCTTCTCTTCGGTCACAAAGTTTTCCGTTATGTACTGTCAGAA